AGAAAGGTGCAGCTAAGATGTTAAGTACTAAGACCATAGGAGAAACATACTTAAGCGTATCCATACACATATGGTGTCTTTAATTGTAAAAAGAAAGCACCAAGTTGGTTTGCTCTAAGAAATCAAGTAATAGTTTGTGATACAAAAACAGTAATTTCATATTAATTAGCAGGTTTAAACAAGTTTCAAGGGCTCTCTCTGCTTGTTACTTCCAAAGCCACAGACTCCAACATGACATACTCAGCTGATGTAATGGAAAAAAACACTGCTCTACACAAGTCTAACTGTGGAGAGGTTGGCCAGAGCCTTGCTAGAGCTGTCCTAGACAGAGGTGAACCAGACAGGAACTGGCATTAGCTGTTGACAATGCTAAGCAGGAATTTAGAGGTCAGCATTTGCAATCTCTAACCCAGAGAGACCCTGCTGAGTAGATCGTTAAGGAGTAGAAAGAAAAGTGTTAAAAGCTGAATTCCAGGTCCAGTACAGTCAGAGGAAAGCAGAACCCTGGCCTTCATCCAGGACCTAAACATTGCCTTAACTAGCAGGTAAACAGATGCTACAAACAATCTCCAAGAATCTAAGGTTACAGGTTCTCACCTTCATCCAGGTACTGAAGCCGCTGGAAGTGAAGGGGGATCCCAGTCAACAATTCTAAATGAGACTTCAGCTTCTTCAGAGTCAAGTCAATTTGGCATCGAGGCAGTGAAAAGATCTCATCTGTTTCAACTAAATGGAGCCGGACAGTAAAGGAATGCGGGGGCATGGTGATGAAGTGGATCCTGACCAGGAAAAGTGTGTAAGATGTGCCTCTTGGAAAAAGCTGGGATTCATTGTAAGGACAGGGGGTCTAGATCTGATAACTCCTCCCTGCCCTAGATATTGACTCATCCAAGCCCTCCATATAGAGATCCCACTGTGTATCATGTTACAGTATCTAAGCAGCATCAACTGACATCACAGAAATACAGTCCACAGGTGTGATGCAACAGCCTGTATAAACATCAGAGAACACCACAGAAAGTAACACAGAGTGATTACAGATTTCTCATATATGTTCCTCCCCCTATTTAATTCTTACTAGGATGAAATATAAACATCCTTGGAAGATAAGCAGTAGAGAAACCAAGCAGTAAATCATGTAAATACACAAAGTTACCTGTATTTCATGT